GCCAGACAGGCTCGGGCAGCATCAGCCACCAGAGCTGTTTTCGACCTCACATCACGGGGGTGGTTGTCCCTGGGACCTGCCGCACTGCCTCCCGGAGCCGCCGCTGGAGCCCAGCTGGCGCCTGGCAGCAGCGGGGGGAGGGGCAGGCCCGGGCTCCCAGCACCCACAGCCAGTCGGCCCGCCGGGCGGGGCGGGGGGAAGCTCCACGGGCCCTGCAGCCCCGGGCAGGGTCTCACCTGGGAGGCCACAGGTGCAGCTCCTCTGCTACCCCTGCTCACCTGGCCATCACTCCTCCACCCAGCCCCTCCACGCACACGTCCGTCCGTCCATCCATCCACCTATCCACCATCCATCATCTGTCCATCTGTCCGTGCACCTATCCATCCATCCGTCCTTCCGTCCATCCGTTCATCCATCCATGTATCCATCCATCCATGTATCCATCCAATTGCCCTTTCTACTCAACCACCTACTGATCATTGTTCACTGTACACCTACCAGGAACCGCTCTGACCTTCACACCCCCAAACCCCTGCAGTGCTGCCCACTGGCCCGCCCACCCTCCGTCCTATACCTTCACCACCCTCCGTCCTATACATTCACCCTCCCTCTGTCCCAAATATTCACTCACCCTCCCTCCCTCATCCTATACATTCACCCTCCCTCCGTCCTATATATTCACTCACCCTCCCTCATCCTATACATTCACCACCCTCCGTCTTATACATTCACCCTCCCTCCGTCCTATACCTTCACCACCCTCCATCCTATATATTCACTCACCCTCCCTTATCCTATACATTCCCCCTCCCTCTGTCCTATATATTCACTCACCCTCCCTCATCCCATCCGTCCGTCTTGTCCACCGAGCACCCGCCAGCACCTTCTCCGGCCTTTAAAGCCACTTGCCTCCTAAGAGGCGGGGCCTAACTCTGCTCCCCGCTGCGGGGTTCTCCGTGCCTCCCACCATGTCGGCCACGGAGGCGTCCAGGACAAACGGAAAATCCGCCGCAGCCTTCCTCCCGGGGTGCCCGGCTTCCCTTGAGGCTCGGAGTGTGTGGAGGACCGCCCTGCGTCCCCCGCCCCACAGCCCCGTGCCCGTCACTGCGCAGCAACTGCCCATCCCCTGCCGGCCTCCTGGTGGCCCCGGCTCCGTGTCAGGCCCAGTGGGCCTGCTCAGAGGACTGACGCTGAGAACTGGCCCTGCTCTCAGAGGAAGTGCTGCCCAGGCCCCTCCTTGGAGCTGGGTTCCAGGGTTAGTGCCCAGCCCCAGTGCCCCTCTCCCGGCTACTGTGCCCAGCGGCTGCCATCTAGTGGCTGAGGCAGGAACCACAGGCCAGGACCTTCCTGCAAAAGGAATGTGGGGCCCTGTGGGAGGTTCCTCTGAGGGCGGGGCTTCCTGACTGGGCTGGGGGGTGCTAGGGGTGGGGTCCTAAAAGCACAGGACAGCTCGGCGTGGCTCTCTGATTCTCCGAATCTTGCTGCCTGTAACAAAATGGCTCTTAGCCGAAACTGGTTTGGCTCAATGGATAGAGCGTCGGCTTGGGGACTGAAAGATCCCGGGTTCGATTCCAGTCAAGGGCATGTACCTTGGTTGCGGGCATATCCCCAGTAGGGGGTGTGCAAGAGGCAGCTGATCGATGACTCTCTCTCATCGATGTTTCTAACTCTCTCTCTCTCTCTTCCTCTCTGTACAAAATCAATAAAATATATATATTTTTAAATGGCTCTTAAGTCACCTGGGCAACCCGCCCCTGGGCAAAAACCAAGTGCTACCTGGTCAGCTGGGGGTGTCCTTCCGTCTCCAGCCGACTCAGTGGGGGGCACAGGCCTGTGTGGTCTTGGGGAAGGAGCCCACCTCTCTGAGCTCAGTTCCCCCAGAAGCTGATGCCAGGAGGGTACTGCGATCTTCCTCGGGGCCCGAGCCTCAGGCCATCAGGTGGGGGTGGGGTTCGGGGTGCGCCAGAGCACGTGGCACCCTCCTGGAGGGGACGGGAGCGGCCCAGGGAAGGCTCCCGCAGGCAGGCTATGAGCCGGACCGAAGGGGGAGCCGTCGCCCAGGGGAGAGGAATGTGTGTGTGGGATGACGGGGGCCCGAGAATCACCGTCCAGCGAGCATGTCTGAGCGCCAGCCTGCTGGGCAGTTTCCACGAGGGATTCGCCCACTCACGGCAGCCCTGCTGGGACACACGACCCCCACGGCCCCCACAGAGCAGGAGCCGGCGGCTCCGAGAGCTGCTGCACGTGCCCAAGGCTGCACAGCCAGGGAGCCGTGAAGCTCTGGCCCAGCCTGCGACCCCACACCAGAGGCCGGACTGCAGGGGGCGCTCTGTGGCCGGGCCCTGCGGCCGACCCAGAGGCACTGAATGCTCACCCCTGACCAGGAACATCACAGGACAGTCACTGCCCTCGCCTCAGGCAACCGTGCCCCCGCCCCCGGGATGGACGGCGTGGCAGGAAGGAGATGGAGGGAGGCGTCACAGAGCGTGGCAGGGAAGCAGTCGGCCGTGGCCACGCCTCCTCCCGCAGCCCTGGACGGAATGTGCTCCCCAGGCTCAGGCGGAGCCCGAGCCCAGCATGGCTGCCCGGAGACGCCGCCTCAGGCATAATGGAGGTAAGCGAGGTCACAGGCCGCCCCAGGCAGACGCTGCCCACACGGCTGGGGCCTGAGCCTCCCGGACTGTGAGCCCCGGGCCTGTGTGTTCTGTTGTGTTTATAACTCTCACCCGAGCGTGTTTCCCGTTGGTTTTTAGAGAGAGTGAAGGGGAGACACAGAGACACACACAGAGAGAGAGAGAGAGAGAGAGAGAGAGAGAGATCCACTGGCGGCCTCTCACACACGCCCTGACCAGGCCAGGGATCAGGTTTTCAGTTGAGCCATGTGCCCTTGGCCAGAACTGGACCTGGGTCCCTTCAGTCCATAGGCCGATGCTCTAGCCACTGAGCAACACTGGCCAGGACGCCGTATGTAGTTTGAACCCCCAAGAAGGTCGTCTTCAATCAAGGGAGACCACTGTACCGCTCTCCCAGGTGGGCGTGGGAGGGTCCCCACCCCCCGAGGCTGAGCCACACCCCCTTCCCTCACACCCCCTTCCCTCCAGCAGCCCGGCCTGCGCGACCCCCGGCCTGCGTGACCCCCGGCAGGGCAACCCCCAGACGCAGCCGCACATCCTGCGGAGACAGGAGGGGCCGTGGGGAGAAGGGTTGGCACCAGCACCACTGGGTTGCCATGGGAACCAGGGCCGACCACCCAGCTGCCGGGAGGGGCGGGCGGTGGGGCCTGGGTCCCAGAGCATCACCGGGGACTGGAGCTCCGTGGGGAACTGGCAACGGCAGGCCGGCCGGCAGGACTCCATTCCGGGGCTGCCGGCGTGGGGGGTGGGGGAGGCGGCATTTCAAACACAAAGCCGCGGTTTGGAGACCGGGGCGCCCTGGGCCGCCAGGCTCCCTGCACTTTAATGAAACGGCGGGGAGAAGGCAGGAAGGGGCGGCGTTAACACAGCCAGGGGGCCGGACGCGGAGTCCTCCCCGCTGTCAGTTCCTGAGGGACCAGCCCCCTCCGAGGCCGGCCTGTGGCTGCCCAGGAAGCTCAGCAAGACCCCAAGTCCCCGCCCACACCATGCAGAACCCTCCTGCTCCGGAGCCCCCGCCTCCCTGAGGGCTCCCCCAGGGCGTGTGCCACGTGCGCCAGACCCCGGCACGTGCGGCAGCTGCCAGCTGCCAGGTCGAGCCGAGTGGAGGCATCCTGGCGGCGGCCTCCTAGCTGGGCCTCCCGCCCTCTCCGAGGCGGCCTGTCCCCACACCCCAGACCCGCCGGCCAGACGCCACCCCGACCCCCCAGCCCCGCGCGGGCTCCGGCCGATGCCTGCCTGGCCGGGCCTGGGCGCCGGCTGAACAGCGGGCAGAGGCCGGGCCTTCCCTCCGAGGGCGGCGGCCGGTGTGATGGCTGGGACAGCGGGTGAGAGCCAGAGCCACTCGCGTGCCTGCGGCGGAGATGGAGGCTCCGGGCGAGAAGGGCAGCCTGGCCCGAGTCACCGCGAGGAGGGAAGCAGCTGGCCGCTCCCATGGGCACGGGCACAGGAAACGCAGGCGGTGCAGCCACCAGGCCGTGGGCTTGTCCGGCAGCAGTCCGGCAGCTGTGGCAGCCACACGGGCGGCCCTCCAACCTCCTGCCCAGGGCACGGGGGCCTCCTCCCCTCGAACCCCGGGCCCCGGACGCGCACCCTGTGAGCGGCCGGGCGGAGAGGCGGACGCCAGGCCCCGGGGAGGGGCAGGCGTGACTGACCGGCGTTTCCCGCAGGACCGGCCGCCCGGGCCACGCTCGGGCTGAGCCCGCACGGCGGGGAGCTGCTGTGAAGCGGGGCTCACCGTCTCTCACGCCCAGAAACGCAAAACCGAGACTTCCCGCCCGTGACCCTGAGCAGGCACCGCCTCCGCCCGCGCACCAGGGAGCCGCCTTCCGGGACCGTCTCCGGGCCGGCCAGGGCCAGCAGGCTGCACGGGGGCGCACGGAGCCATCGGCCGAGGCGAGCGTGGCTGCCGGACGCCCGCGCTGAGCCGGCTCCCACGCAGGCCCAGCGGCCAGGCCCGGCGGCTCCGCCTGCCGGCTGTCAGGCTCCGCTCAGCACCGCCAGGCAGGGGCCCCTCTCAGCCGCTCCGTCGATTAGACCCTCGGCCCAGCTTTACAAGGTTCCAGCGGGGCCCCCTCGGGAGCCCGCTAGCCGGGCACCGCTTCCTCTGAGAACCGGTTTCCATAGAGACGTGGGCCCCTGTTTGCAGGCGGCACAGGGACGCACGGGGAGCTCCGGTAGGCCCCGGGCACGGCCCCCGAGCAGCCTCCCGGTACGCGCTCCACGCCGCCCCGGCACTGGCCTCCGGCGTGGACAGAGCCCGCGGACCGCACCTGCCTGTGGGTCCTCGCTCTGAGCTCGGCTCCTCCCACGCCCGCCTCCCCCCCTCCGCCCTCGGACCGCCGCCGGCTGCCCGCCGAGGCGCCTCACCTGCCTGGCTGTCCCGGGGCCGGCCCTGCACCTCCTCCACACACTCTGCCGGGAACCACCCGATGTGGCCGCGGGCGCTGCCTTCCCAGAAGCCGCCTTCGCCGATGCTCAGGACTGGAGACAGGACAGGGCAGCGTCAGGGGGAGGGGCCAGGCTAGGAGGGCCTGGGCTAGAGGATGTGGGGGCTGGTGACAGCCAGGCCTGGGGCCAGTAGGTCAGCAGCCAGGCCTGGGGGGTCAGCAGGTTGGCGGCCAGGCCTGGAGGGCCAGCAGGTCAGTGGCCAGGCCTGGGGGGCCAGCAGGTTGGCGGCCAGGCCTGGGGGGCCAGCAGGTTGGCGGCCAGGCCTGGGGGGCCAGCAGGTCATCGGCTGGCTCTGGCCCAGCGCTCTGTGTTTCTCTGAGAGTCCCCCAGGTTTCCCTCGACCCCAGTGGGGTCTCACTCCCAGTATGCGCTGTATCCCCTAACACAGCGGGGACACGGGAGCTGCGCCCCGAGAATGGCGGGGGGCCTCACGCCGCTCCCTTTGGCCCGGGGGCCTCGGCCCGACCGCGTCCCGGAAGCAGGGGCCGGCCGGGACACTGACCTTTGACCCTGTCGCCCCGGTGGAGGGGGATCTCGCCGTCGACCTGGGGCTGGTAGGGCTTGACGGCGACGAAGAGCCTCCCGGGCACCGCGCTGTACAGCTTCCGCTTGGGCCCCGCGCCCTGGGCGGCGGAGGGCGTGTCCCTGTTGGCCCCGGGCGGGAAGGCCGGCCTGGAGGGAGGGGGTCGCGGCTGTGGCGGGCCAGGGCAGCCAGCCGCCCCAGGCGCCCGTTCCCGCCCCCCCCCCCCCCCCCCGGTTCTAGCGGGGGCGAAAGACGCGGAAGGACCCTGGGCGGCATTGTGTCCCCATGGGGTGTGCGCAGGGACCCACACAGGCCGCTCGCACCCACGTTCACAGCAGCCACGACGTGGGAGCAGCCGAGTGTCCGCGGACGGAGGGCGGAACACAGCACGCGGTCCGTCCACACAGGCTGTCACACAGCCTTCACGAGGAAGGGCGTTCTGGCACCTGCTCCCGGTGGACTTGCCCCGAGGGCCTTATGCCGAGTGAATCGGCAGACGCAGAGGGACAAGCCCCGTGGTTCTGCTGGAGGCTGATTCCGGCAGGGCGCAGGGCGCGATAACACGGGAGAGGCCTATGGACACCTTCAGGGCTGCGGGGCTGCCTGTTAGCGCTGCTGCCAGACACTGAGGGCAGCTCCCAGCCTGGTGTCCTTTACTGCTTTCCAAACCTTACCTCTGATGTGTGTATCTGCTTTGCTGAAGGGCAAAAAGATTCGGAGAGCTTAGCCACTGCAGCTAAGCCTCCCCTGGCTCCTAAAATCCCCCAAATTTCATGTTTAATTTATTAATTTATGTTGCAGCCCTTCTCCTGATTCCTGGGCCCTCGTAGATGTGGAAAAGGCCTGAAGGACGCCCTTAAATGTCAAATTCGTAGTAGGAAGTAGGTGGTGGGTCCTGAACGCTGGCCATGGGACAGGCGTCAGAAGGGGGAAGGGGAGGGGCAGGGCGGGGAGGGCAGCTGACAGGGGTCACTGGCAAGGGTGGTAGCTGGGCCAGGACAGCCTCCTGGTTGGGACAGGCAGTGACCCATGTGCAGGGGGCTGACCGCCCGGGGTCGGCAGCGGATACACAGCATGGAGTCCTGCATGGGGCGGACCAGAGGGCCGGTCACTCCGCCCAGGCCTGTGAGGGAGGGAGTGGGCCTTGAACATGGGTTTGAGCTTCCCGAGGGCCAGCGTGGGCCCGCACGTCCTCCTGAGAGGCCCTGGATGCACTCCTGGGCCGGGAAGACCCTGGAGCAGCCTCTCCATGACCCCCCCACCCCGGGCACAGGCTGCGGTTGGGGAAAAAGGGGGGACCGAGCTCTGCGCATGCGTCACTGCCAGGAGCGGCGCCTGCTGGAGACCCCTGCCCCGGAGCTCCGGGCACCTCCCCGCTCACCCCGAGCGGTGCCCGCGGGCCCAGTCAGTGCCCGGCCCCCGCTCTCCGGGACAGTCCGACCTGGGGGGGTGGGACGAGCCGGGCACCGTGCGCCCGGGTCCCAGACCAATGTCCACACCCAGAGTCCCTGCCCGGCCGCCCGCACCCGGGTCCCAGACCGGCTGCCTGCACCCCCTGAGTCCCGGCCCAGCCGCCCGCACCCCAGGGTCCCAGGCCCGGCCGCCCGCACCCCCGGCCGCCCGCACCCCAGGGTCCCAGGCCCGGCCGCCCGCACCCCAGGGTCCCAGCCCAGCCGCCCGCACCCCCGGCCGCCCGCACCCCAAGTCCCGGCCCAGCAGGGCCGCCCGCACCCCAGGGTCCCCTCTCCCCGCCCCTCCTTACCCCGCGGGCCAGGGCTGCAGGGGCCTCTTGCCATCCTCGCCGGCGCCGCCGAGCCTGTGGAGCGACGGGGAGCGGCTGCGGGGCCCGGGCACGTAGCTGCCCACGGCCCGCGGGGCGTCGGCCGGGCCGGGCGCGGGCTGCAGCGGCTGCGGGGAGAGGCTGCGCTGGGCGGGCCCGGCGGCCCAGGCGGGCGCGTTGGCCGGGAGGTTGTTGTCGCTGTTGGAGCGCAGCAGCACGCGGGGGGCGGCCAGCGCGCTGGGGGGCCGGCGCCGGCGGTTGGTGTAGGCCGGGGCCTCGCGGAAGGGCACTGCGGGGAGACAGGGCCGTGAGCACCGGCGCGGCCTGCGGGGGGCGCACGCGAGCCGGGACGTGGACAGACGGAGACAGGAAGCAGGGGCGGGGGCGGAGGCGGCCCGGTCCCCGGAGGCGCCAGCTGGGCGGCAGTGGAAGGGACGCCGGTCCGGCTTCCATGTGGCCAGCGCCTCAGAAGCAGCGCACACACGTGTGAGCACGTGGCCGTCTCACCACGTGGCCAGGACACGAGCAGCCACAGCCCCTCCTGCGAGACCCACATGTGGCCTGGGATGGGCTGAGGGCCCCCGATAGCCAGGTATGGCAGCCCGAACCCCAGAGCTCAGAGCGGGACCCCATCGGGAGCCGGGTCTTTAAACAGGTGACTGGGGTCACGTGAGGCCACGGGCCCTGATCCGTTGAGGCCGGACGGACAGACACCCGCAGAGGGACCCCGGGGGGGGAGGGAGGCCCGGAGGAGCGGCTGGGTCTGGGGCTCCGGCCGCCGGGACGGGCACCTCTGGGGGCATTGATCTCGTGGCCCCGGACACTGACTCAGCCTCACACCTGCCGGGTGGAATTCACCAGCCCCAGCCCCCAGCGCACTCCTCCCTCCGCCACAGATGGGGACTCCAGAGCATGGAGGGAGGGGGGTGTCCTCACCCGACTTCTTACTGAGCTCAGACCAGAGGGCGCCCGCAGGGCCAGGGACTCAGTGGGGACTGGGATTTGGCGGGGGGGGGGGGGGGGGGGGGGCCTGGGCCGGAGGGGAACAGGAAGAGGTGGCTAAAGAAGAACAGCCATCCAGGGTGGCGAGGAGGGGCTGGGAGGGGAAGTAAGACGCCGGTGAACCGGCCGCAAGGGACGCAGCTTCCCACGCGCTCGACGCCCGGACAGCTTTCCTGCCCCACACGCCTCCGGGCTGGGCCAGGCGCACTGCCACGGCGGGCACGGGGCTCTCCCATCTCACCGGGGAGAGCGGCTCGAGGGACTTAGGACAGTCCTGGACGGCCTCCACCGGCTGACCCGGCCAGAGGCCGCGGAGGGCAGTCCTCCCCTGCTGCCAGCCCGCCCACCGGACACCGGGCTTGGGCACAGCAGCGGCCGCAGAGACCACTGTGAGTCCGCACCCTCCCACCTGCCGGGTGCAGGGCCGCCTGGGGAGCAGAGGTGAGGCCCTGGGGGCACGGGGGCAGGGCTTTCCTGAGGTCGCACGGACCGAAATTGCGCCCCGGAGCAGCCATGAGCCTGGGAGGACACATGGAGGTCACACGCTTCCTGGCAGGCGCAGCCGGAGGGACGCCCGCTGAGGGGTGAGGGGGGTGCAGGCTCCTCCGCACAGGACTCAGCGCCCGCTGCCCCGGAGGCGGCCCTGGCCCAGGCCCCAGGCGCCAGCCGAGGCCTTTCCCACGACTGGCCAGTCCCGTTGGGGCCCCGAGCGTGTGCCTTGCCGTCTCCGGGGAGGACACACGGCGTCACCATCAGGGGCAGCGGGCCGGAGGGATTGTTCGTGCCGGTGGGAGGGCGCGGGCTGTGGGTGGTGAGGCCCAGGTCTGCGGACCGAGGGCACAGCCGGAGTCGGCACCTCCCACGGGCGGGCAGAGCGGGAGAAAGCGGCCAGGGAGCCCCAGCCCCGAGGCCTCCTGGCCAGAGCGGCAGGGCACATGCCCATGCAGGGAGGGACCCAGCTCCCGGCTCCTGGGCAGTCAGTCTGCTCCTGGACTGACAGCTGCCGGGCAGTTTAACGCCCCTCCAGAAGGGGCGGGACGGGGGTGTGCCTGCTCGCGCTCAGACGACTCAGACGGGAGAGACGGCTATGAAATGTGGGCACAGACCAGGCAGCACCTCACACCAGCCTCCCGTGGCTCAGGGTTGAGGGTCGACCTGTGAACCAGGAGGTCCCGGTTCGATTCCCGGTCAGGGCACAGGCCCTGGGGGCAGGCTCAGTCCCAGTGGGGGGCGTGCAGGAGGCAGCAGGTCCGTGATTCTCTCCTCATGGATGGTTCTCTCTCTCCCTCTCCCTTCCTCCCTGACATCAATGGAATAAATAAACAAGTAAAAGGTCCCCCCGCTGGGCAGGTCACAAACGGGGAGACACAGAAAGGCTGGTTACTCGTCAGGAAAGGAGCAGACACAGGCCATGCTGCCGCTGGCTGCGGGCGGCCCAGGGAGCAGTGGGGACGCGGAGGGAGGGACCGGGAGGGGAGGGGTGGGGCCGCGGGGCATTCTCAGGGGGGTCCTGCCGGCACCGGGCAGTCACTGAGCAGCACGCACACACGGGTGGCGGGAGGGAGCCCCTCGCTGGGGCACCGAGACCCAGGGCACCAGCTTCCCTGTCTCCGCGTCTGTCACGGCCGGGGCGGGGGCGCCCCCCAACCCCTCCGGAGCGCCCCAATCTTCATCAGCCCGCCCAGCCCGAGCCTCTCCGCTGACAGGCTCCCGGGAGGGCGTGTGTGAGTGTGTGTGTGCGCACATGTGTGTGCATGTACTTGCGTGTGTGCATGTGTGAGAAAAGGGCTAAAAACACCTGCTTCCCCGCCTGGCAGCGACTCCCACCCCGGCTGCTCCCTTCTCCCCGTGACCTGCGAACTCCCCCCGGGCTTCCCTTCGCCTCCGGCACTTGTGACACATTTCTGTCCCCGGAGAAATGACACTTTCCCGTCCCCGCGAGGCGGCCCCGCCCCCGCCACTCCCCTGCCACTCCGGGAGCCGCCGTGCCCAGCGCGTCCTGACCTCCCGTCCCGGCTCGCCGGGCAGCGGGCACCAGAGCCCAAACTTCCCCGGTTCCCCTGGAACTCCGGCCCCCCCGCCCCAGCCGGGCTCCGGGCGCCGGGCTCCGGGCGCTGTGGAATGCGGTCCTGCCCGGGACGGGACTCGGGGACAAAGACGCGGACAGCAGGTCCGGGCCCCACGCCAGGCCCGGGACAGAGCCCCCAGCGGGCGGTCCCGCCTCGCCCTCGCCCTCGCACGGTGCAGGACCGCCGTTCCAGGAGCGCCCCCCCCTCCCCCCCCCCCCCCGCCCGCACGCCCGGCTGCGGCTCTTACCTTCCCTCTTGCTGAAGGCATTTAACAAAGACTTCATCTTCCCTCCGGCTGGACCGCCCGCCGCGCCTTACATAAGCCTCCCGGCGGGGGCACAGGCGAGCGGGGCGGCCGGGCCCCTGGGCGCCGGGGCAGCGGGGACCCGGGGCGCGGCGGCGGGCGGGGCGCGGCGAGCCTGCGGGCATCGGCGGGCACGCCAGCCCCGGCGCGCCGGTGCGGGAGCCCCCCCCATGTCCCCGCCAGCGGAGCCTCAAGCCCGGCGGCCCCTGCCCGCGCCCGCCGCGGGAGCGCCACCGCCCGCCTCTGAGGTCCGCGGCGGGGGGCGGGGGCGCGGGCCGGGCATCCTCGCACCAGCACCTGCGGGCGGGCGGAGCGGTCCGGGGAGCGGCCGCTCCCGCTCCCGCGCTCCGGGCTTTCCTGATTTATTTCCTAGAAAAAGCCAAGTTCCCTCTTAACGGGCCGGCGCGTGCCGGCCGCAGGGCAGCGAGCGAGCTCGAGGGAACACACCCTCCGGAGCCCCACGCGGGACCCGCTCCGGCAGCCTCGCGCCCGGAGTCTGCGTGACCCAGTTTCCCTTCAAAGGACGCGGCCACTCCTCCCCGCTCAGCCGGCGGCGGCCCCCGAGAAGCCAGACCCCTTAAAGGCAGAGGAGACAATTAGACGGGCTGCGCGCCTGTTCCTGCGTCCGCACGGTCACGTTAGCATCTCCCGGCAGACCCGGAGGGAGGGGGCCGAGGGGGAGGGAGGGAGGGAGGGAGGGGGGAGGGAGAGAGAGAGGGAGGGAGGGGGGAGGGGGGAGAGAGAGAGGGAGTAAGCGAGGGGGGAGGGAGGGGGGCTGGGAGAGAGAGAAGGAGGGAGGGGGAGGGGGGTCAGGAAGGAAGAAGGGAGGGAGTGAGGGAGGGAGGGGGAGGGGGGAGAGAGGGAGGGAGGGGGAGGGAGGTCAGGAAGGAAGGAAGGAGGAAGGGAGGAGGGAGGGGGGAGAGAGGGGGGCTGGGAGAGAGGGAGGGGGGGCCGTGAGGGAGGGACATAGGGAGGGAGGGCAGCCAGAGAGCTATCCCCGTTACACGCCGATGGGCAGGACGCCTGGGCAGGGCAGGGCAGGGGCAGGGTCACCCTGAGCACTAACGGGCACCAGGGGCCGGCTCCACCGCCTGCAGGCCTGCCGGGCGGCAAGGAAGCCGGGGACTTGGTTGCTAAGAGAACTGCTTCCCAAATTAGAGAGGGGGCGGGCGGGGGGAGGCAGAAACAGCACCGGACGTGTGAGTGGACGTGTGAGTGGAGGTCTGGGTGACAGACCGTGACCAGGATGGCCCGCCGTGTGAAGCCCCCCCCTGCCTGCACCGGGCATCAGCCACATCCAGACCTCTGCACCCCCACCGCCCAGGGGCCCCTCGCCCGGCACCTCGCCGGCAGCGCTAAGAGGTGCCTGGACGCTGACCGCCGGGCACGTTATCCTCAGCCGTGACCTGTCCACGTCACCTCCTCAGGGTCAGAGGTCAGTCCCAGCACACCCCCAGGACACGTGGCCGGGACACGGCCGTGCTCCCTGCGCCCCTCCCCAGTGCCCGGGTGCTCCAGCAATGGCAGAGACTGCGGGAGCCTGCAGGCCGGGGCGTGGGGGGCACGACTCAGGCCGCCGCCCGCCTGGCTGGGACACCTGCGGCCAATGCAGGGAGCTCCTCTCGGGAGTGTGTGTGTGTGTGTGTGTGAGTGTGTGCACATGAGCCCCGAGAACACGCCAAGGCCCAGGGAACCCTGGGGGCGTGGGAGGCTGGAGATGCTCACCCGCCTCCCTGTCTCTGACGCCTCCCGAGACCACGGAGCTCGCTGCTCGCCTGTTCCCCGGCGGCGCGGCGATGAGCAGGCGGGAGGTGTGCCAGACGGGCGGGGCCTCGCCGAAGCCCACGGAGCCCCCACCGTCCCAGCAGCCCCGCTGCCGACGGGCACGGGGAAGCGGCTGCTCAGGGACCACCG